GAAGACACTGTTTGGGTTGGACCTCCTTTTGAAGGCATCTTAACAAGACCAAGGAGCTCGGGTGGCAAAGTGGTCATACCGTGGGCTGCTAACTGCAAGGTCAGCAGTTTGAAACCACCAGCTGCTCCTCGGGAAAAAAACAGGGCTTTTTACTCCCATAGACGGTTACAGCCTTGGAAACTCACAGGGGGCAGTTCTATCCTGTCCTACAGGGTCACTGTGAGTCGGCATCAACGCAATGGCAGTGAGTTTCTTGTTTCTGGTTAACAAGACGAAGGCAAGCGCATGACGGAGAGAACTTGCCTACAGCCGCCCACTGATCACAGAAACAACACATTTTGTTTGGAACAAGCCGTGCAGGTACACATTGTCTTAAGTCCCACTTGTCTATATAGCACATGGCTTGGGTCACTGTGCGTGGAATAGAAACTAAGTCTAATATGTGCAATTAGGAACATAGGAGAGGGTAACCCAAAAAATGGAATCCCCCCCCCCAAAGCTATGTATTTAATTTTTTTTAACAAAACAAACTTATCACCTTTAAAGTACTCTACAGTACACTTAATACGTTTGTCAAATCTGCGATTCCATTCTTGGAAGCATTTTTCAAACTTATCTGTTTGGATGGCTGACAGCACCTCCCTCATTTTTTCCTCACCTCTTCTAAGTCGTCAAAGAAGAAGTTGCACGGCATGAGGTCGGGTGAGTCAGGTGTGTGGGGCAAGAGAAGCAAGCTGGTTTTTGCCATAACTGGTTCACTGAGATGGCTGTGTGAGCAGGTGCATTGTCGTGGTGGCAAACCCAGGCCCCCGTCTGCCACAAATCAGGCCTCTTTTGTCACATGCTGTTGCACAATCTTTTCAGAACCTCTAAATAGAAAGTTTGATTAACAGTCAGACCTGATGAAATGAACTCCAAATGCACTATCCTCCTTGTAACTAAAAAACAAATGGGTATTATCTTAATCTTTTATTTCACTTGACAAGCTTTTGGGGGGCGAGGTAATGGTGGTGACTTCCACAGGCTTGATTGATGTTTGCTTTCAGGGTTATAAAAATAGCACCATGTCTCATCACCAATAATGGCCTTGGGGGGGGGGGGGAAACATCTGGTTGCTTGGGAGCTGTTCTTTCAAAGGACAGCATGTTTCTTCTCAACATTTTGTTCCTGGTCAGTCAGAACCCAAGGCACGGATTTTGCAGCGACCTTTCTCATTCACAAATCTCCTGTCACAATTGGCTGACCTGAGCTCCACAATAGTCCAGATAACTCCCATCTCTCCGATGGTCCCTCATCAGTCTTCAAGCACAAGTGCACAAATTCTGCCAATATTCTCATCCATTTGGGAAGTAGACAGAAGTCCAGAGCGAGGTTTATCATCAATTGACATTTCACCTTTTCTGAAGCAAGAAAACTACTCATACACTTGAGTTTTTCCCATAACACTGTCCTTGTAAGCTGTGTTCAGCATCACAACAGTTTCTGAAGCATTTTCCCCAAGCAGGAAACAAAATTTCACAGCCACACGTTGTTCTCTTAAAGCGGCCATCACAAAAATACAAAGTTTGAGTGAAACCGCTTTTATGAAAAATTTTACTGTGATCAGAGAGAACCTTCCCAGGTGATGCCACTGGGTGCACTAACTCAGAGTGAGTTGCTTGATGCTTGACCAGTGAGAAAAACGCACACGATGAAAGCTCCACCCAGTGGAGCTTTTTTCCATTGTTTGTTTTTTTCTTTTTTTGTACCCCCCACAGTATGAAGCCTATTTTCCCCTCGGATCGCACATAGTGTTGGTGAAGCTTTTTCCCATTGGTAGATTGGTTCTCCCCACTTTCCTACCCACAGAATGCACGTACCTTCTCGAAGACATGCATGCTCTCCTCCCTTCTTCTTGAATTGAATTCCCCACAGGGATCACTTATCACTCTGACAGGAGTGTCGGTTGGTTTGGGGTGACCTTAGCACAGTTTTTTATGGCTGCGTCTAAATGGTCATCTCTGTCTCCCCCAATCTTGAAAACTGACCCCAGCTGAAGTGAGGTGGCCCTTGTCAAAGTGGTTTTTAAGACCCACGTAGACAGAGGGTGCTGCATGCTTCGTGGGCACTCGCCAGGCTCTCTGCCATCCTGTTTGGCAGACTTGGTTAACCGACTGGGTCACTTGGAAGCAGGAGTGTGCCTTCATCTTGGTGTTTATCCTTACCGTGGTGGACTCACAGTATCTGCCCGTTTGTCATTAACTAACTTCACTCAGCATGGTGGTTTAGGGATCCCTCCCCATTATGTTTCACCGTTTCTTTGTTTTTGTTTTTAGGGATGAATAGCAGTATTTCACTGTGTGTATGCACCGAGGTGTTTCGCTTTTTTAAAATCCATTCTTCTGCTGATGGGGATTTTGGGACTATTTGCAGCTACTTGCTATTGTAAACTCTGCTGCAATGACTATGGGAGAGCATACATCTATTTACAGTCTGTCTCTTATTTCTCTGGGGTGTATGTCCAACAACGGTATTACTGGGTCTTATAATATTTCTATTGCCAGTTGTTTTAGGCATCACCACATCAGTTTCCACAGTGGTTGTGTGAATCTGCGAGCCCACCAGCAGTATATGAGTTCAGTCATCTCTTCATGCCCTCCCCAGCATTTGTGATTCTGTTTTGTTTTGCTTTGCATTTCCTAGATGGCTGGTGAACAAGAACATTTCCTCATGCATCTATTAGCTATTTGATTGCTGTCCTTTGTGAATGGTCTATTCAGGTTCTTTTTAAGTGGGTTATTTATGGGTTTGGTTTGGTTTTTTCTTATTGAGGTGTTGCAGGATTCTGTAGCTTTTAGTAATTCGTTCTTTGTCCATTAAGTCATTGCTAAAGATTTTTCCTAATCCATGGGCTCTTGTTTTGCTCTTTTAATGAAATCTCTTGATGTGCATAAGTGTTTTATTTCTAATAGGTCCCAGTCATCTATTTTGTCTTTCACTGTGTGTGCTTCCTTTGTTACATCTTGTAGTCCATGCACACCCTGCACTAGGGCCCTGAGGTTTGCCCCAGTTTTCTTGTTGATGATCCCAATAGCTTTGGGGTTTTCATTTAAGCCTCTGATCGATCTTGAGTTAATTTTTGTGCACGAGGTGAGGTATGGGCCCTGTTCCATGCTTCTGCAGATGGAGATCCAGTTTTTCCATCACCACTTGTTGAAGAGGGCACCTCTTTCCCATGTGATGTTCTCTGGTCCTCTGTTGAAAGTCAGTTGTCTGTAGGCAGATGCTTTTACTTCTGGGTTTCCTATCCTGTAGTTCTATGGGTTTGCTTATCTCTCATTCCACCGGAGCTAGACTGTGTTGAGTACTGTGGCTGTGCCATAGGGTTTGAGGTCAGGTAGTGCACAACTTCCCCTGCTTTGTTCTTCTTTTTGAGACATTCTTTGCTTATCCTGGGCCTCCTCTCTCTCCCTGTGAAGTTGGCAATTAGTTTTTCCATGTCTTTCAAGAATGATGTTGGGAATTGGATCAAGATTGCATTGTTTTTGTAGCTTGCTTTTGGTTAGTGATTCTCAACCTTCCTAAGGCCACGACCCTTTAATATAGTTCCTGATGTTATGGTGACCCCTCAACCATAAAATTATTTTCGTTGCTACTTCATCACTGTAAATTTCCTACTGTTATGAATCGGGCGACCCCTGTGAAAGGGTCATTCGACCCCCAAAGGGGTCATGACCCACAGGTTGAGGACCGCTGCTTTAGGTAGTATTGACATTTTCACAATATTGTCTTCCTATCCATGAACATGGGATAGCCTTCCATTTGTGTGGGTCTCTTTTGGTTTCTTGGAATAACATTCTGTATTTTCTCTATAAGATCGTTTGTTTCTTTGGTTGGGCATTTCCTCTTCTGCATGGCTACTGTGAATGGTATTGCTTCCTCGATGTCTTCCTCAGAGCTCTTTTCACTGGTATACGGGAGTCCGATGGATGTCTGCTTGTTCATCTTGTATCCTGCTCCTTTACTAAATCTCTTACTTGCGTCCAACAGTTTGTGGTTTCTTTGGTGGAGATTTTGGGTTTCTGTCTATATAAAATCATATCAGAGTGAGAGCTTCACTTCTTGTTTGCCCACGTGGGCTCTGTTGATTTCTTTTTGTTGTCTAATGATCCTGGCTACGATTCCCAGCACAATGTCAAATAAGGGTGCTGACAAGGGGCATTCTTGAAGGCACATTTCTTTGCCTTCCTCCTGAGCAAATTGAGAACTTGATAGCCAGGGAGCTTTCTCTGCCCACCACACCTATCCCCACCCACCTCTCTCTCTTCTCATGTGGGGTGTCCTCTGGTAATTCAGTTCACAATTGAATTCCAAGCATCTTTTAAAAAGCAATAACTGCCTTTTTTTGTTTGGCTGTATGTTCTGGTCAGAATAGCTTTTAAATCCTTCTTCATCATCATAGTCTCATTTTTTTTTATTACCCGTGAACATCCTCCAACTGTGCTTTCAGGTGGGGTCTGTAGTGGACTGATTTCCTTTAAAGTTAATGAAGTTTCAGCTTCACAGCCCCTCACTTGCACGCACCTCTTCCTGGACTCTGCGGGGGCAAGAGAGGCCCTAGTTACATTTACATGGTCAGCTGTCTTTGTAAAATTTGAAAAAGTAAGATATTTCTTATAGTTTTATTTTAAAAGTCTTCCCCCCACCCCTGATTCTACAAACTTCGGGCTCCACAGAAATGGAATCTACCCCACTTGTGACACCCCGGTGAGGAAGATGCTAGATCCAGTCAGCAGGGCTGTTGGCTGGATAATCAGGCTGGAGAGAGAAATAGAACAGTTGATCGACTCGCTTAGAGAAGGCGCATCACAGGTGAGAGCACCGACGCTGAGAAAGCCGAATGGGAAACAATCCAGTGGTCTCAGTGGGCTGTAAGCCAGATGCTTGACTAGGGAGCCCAGGACTGACCAACGGCAGCCATGACTGTGGAGGTGAATTTTTCCTTTTGGCCTCTTTTTCAGAACCAGGCAACTAAACAACACCTGTGTCAGCCCAATGGACATGGAATTCTTCCTCCATTACTCCCTCATCCCATCAGTAAGTAAAGGCAGAGGAGGGCCAAGGAGAGAAGGAAAGGAGGTGGGGTTGCCCCTGTGCGCAGGCTCCCAAAGAGGACTAGACGAATCACGAGAGAGTCATCAATTGAGTTTCCTTCTGAAACCTTGACTTGCTCCCCGAGTTCATCTATAAAATGCATAGCCAAGTGTTAGTTCCAGTCAGCCTGAGAAGGTGGCTTTTAAGGCCCAGCCATCAGGCATATTCGATTTTAGGTAAGCCTGCAAAGGTTTTTGGAGGAAATCATCAAGGTGTTGAGGTCTGTTGGGAGATCTGGAGTCAGCTAGATAAAGGGAAGAGTAAAGAGCACCTCCAGGCAGGGAGGGAGCTAGAGGGGTGTGAGGAACTGGGAGAAGGGACGTGGCTGGCTGGAGTGGGGGACTGAGGTGGAAATGGGCTAGGCCAGGCCCATTAGAGCCCTGTAGTCTTTCTGCTAAGGGGTTTTGGCTTGGATAGAGGAGGTTGTGAGAAGGAGAAGTTGAGGGTGTGACTTGCACAATTGGAAGGATGGTGGTACCTGCCTGTGTTAGTCTGGTGAGACTAGAGAAACAAATCCAGGGAGACTCATGGGTATAAGAAAGTGCTTTATATCAAGGACAGTAGAATATTGAGAAAACATCCCAGCCCAGTCCAGATCAAGTCCATACGTCCTACCCCATATGTCAATACTAGTCCATAAATTCCTCTTTAGACTCACACAGCCATGCAATGATGCTGAATGCAGGAAGAGCACAGGCCAGTGGGTGGAAAGTCTTGTGGATCCAGTGGTGGTGGAAGCATCTCAGCACTGGCATGGGTCTCCACGTGGCTCCTCCAGTTCCAGGGCTCTAGCTCCATCAGCCTATTTCCATGTGACTTGTCAACAGGAATGTCAAGCCGAGAGAGTGTGCTTCCTGCCTCCCGGAGAAAGATAGGAGTTCCCAGAATCCTCAGGAGAAGGCCATGCCCACATAGAGGTCTCATTGACTATGACCGGGTTGACAGACTAGACTCCTCCCCTTCACAAGTTGACCGAAGATCATGTAACTGCCACGGTACCGTTCTGGAGCCCATGAGCCATGTGTGGGCTGGGTTCAAGTCTGTGGTCTTCTGGGTAGATGTGGTCATTAACATGTGGACATGGATGACATCACCCAAGACCAGAGACTCAAGTACGAAGAGAAGTGGTCTGTCCTTGGGCTGGGCTCTGAGGAGCATGGAGGAGCCCGAGGGGTTGGAGCCCTCTGCTCAGCCACCCATCCTCTGCCAGGGAGGGCTGACAACAATGAACAATCCCGCCAAGCCTCTCATCTTCTCTTCCTGCAGATCTTCATTATTTTGGTCTTGTCCTTCCTCCAAAGACAAAAGCACTGCAGACAGAGGGATGACGCTTCTCACCTCCTGGGGAAGCACTTTGGCATCATCCTGTAAGTTGCCCTGGGGTTCGCAAGAACTATGCACCTCAGCTCACTAAAATGCATTTCCTCACGGGTGTTCTGAGCACCTCCTCGTTGCACAGCCCCAGGCCAGGGTCCCGTCCCAGAGGAGGCTGTAGCTTATGCAATAAGCGATAGCTTGTTGGAAACAGGACATGAACTTGGTGTTGAGGGGACACACAGATGCAGGAACAGCTAAGTACCCTTGGTTGGGAATAGGCCATCAGGGAGGCTCCTTAGAAGCAGTGCTCCTTAAGCTCACCCTTAAAGGTGGAAAAGAGCAAGCCAAAGGGGAGAGGAGCTGAAATCCTGGCCCCTGATGCCCAAGTGGCCGCCTGCAATGTGCTGCCCTCCCCATCCACTGCCATCCTAGGGTCCTTTGCTCAAGGATGCCGCTTCCTTGGAAAAGCCCATTCTCATTTCCCAAACTCCTCTGTTTGCCCTAGTCAAAGCGCTCTCCATTACAAGGGGCATACCCATTCAAGACGGTTTTCATAAAAGGAAAACATCTTTATAAAGTGATTTCGATGTCATGGAAATGAGCCAGGCAGGCCCCATGAGAAGTGGAACTGGTGAGACGGGAGTTTGCGGGATACTGAAGCTTGTTCTATATAACGGGCGCCCCCTCAGCACCATTTCCCGTTGTCCTCTCTGACTTTATCAATGACCTGGGATCTCGCTTTCCCTAAACCCCAGCTGGCCACTAGCTCCAACTAGATCCCCACTTATCACGACTCTGCCGACCAGAACTTCGCTGCCAACTGACTCGGGTCCATAGGGCTATAAACTCAAAATACCAGATGAGCATCCGATTGGCCCATCCAAGATCAGGTGGTCACCCATATATCCCAATCCACTGTGGCCATGAAAGCAAGGCCACATGGTGCTACCCTAGCCACCGGTACCCAGAACTCCATCGGAGACATCGCAAGGAGTGGGTGCAGGAAGGATCCCCCAAACTGCTTAGCACACACTCCTTGTTCCGGGCTCTCGAGCATACTGCCCGTGCCTCTCACAGACGTAACTCTCCTTGTGTGTTTGATGTCGTGCTTACTGGAGTCCATTGGACGTGCATCTCCTGGGGGCAAGCATTTTATCTGAAGAATTCTTCACTTTAGTACCCCGCCCCCACCCCCAAGGTGGGCTTGCTCCTTTGAAGCCGACCAGCTAGAAGGTCTCAGAGCCACTTACTGTCTCACAGATGCCTTTTCATATTCACAGGCCTCTGGACTTCGTGGGCATGTTTAATAACCGGTGGTCCTACGGAATGGCCTTTGGGGCCACGGCCAACAAAGTCATGTTCTTGTTCTCAGAAGGCTACCAGCCCCTACAGGCCCCAAAGTGGGCCCAAGGTACAGAGGCGGCTGCTGGGAACTTCACCGTGGGAAGGCTCGCTCTCAGAGACCTCAGGCCAGGGTTCCTCTGGGACCGGGGGCACATGTCAATGTTCTTCTCAGCGTGTTGCTTACCCAAGGCCAATGCTTAAGCCACAGAACCGCCAAGCTTCCTTGTGGCGCTCTCAAAGGCACGTTGGACCCCATGTAACATGGGGTCAGAAAGCACATTCTCCGTCGCTCATCCAAAAAGCTCGTCAGAATCAGAGCCATCGCCACCTTCTTCCTGTCAGTGAGGTCTAGAATTCTTCTCCGAGAATGCTGCCTTCATTGCCCATGGGCCCGAAGTCTCTTTCTTCTCCTGCCTGTGTGCTCCTTGAAAGAGCAGCTCTAATGCAGAGGTTCCACGCTCCCTTCCGAGGTGGCAGCCAAACCTCCCTGTCAGGGCCAGATCTTTCGGAGGGCTCTATCGAGTGCCTACAAATACCTTACTCGAATCGGGAAATGCAAATTAAACCCACGATGAGGTGCCACTGGACACCTTCTTCAAAGCACGCAGTTGGGAAAGTTTGGGCACATGTTAACATCCACGAAACGTCACCCCGTCACGATAATGAAATATCCATCTCTCTGGGGACCGTCCTCTGAGTGTTCCCCCGCTTAAGGCTTTCTGTTCACGTGATCGATTATACAAACGGGGTTTCCTCCTATTGAGCCTCTGTGGTAGTTCTAGAATAAACGCCTTGGGTAAGGTGTTATTTTATTTCCCAATAGGCTCTTGGACCCTGTTTGCTAATACTTCAAGATTTCTAAATCAATATTTGTAAGTGAGATTGATCTGTAATTCTTTTTATTGGTCTAGTCCTCATAAGATTTTACAACAGTATTATCTTCTTATTATCAAACCAATTTGGAGGTTGTCCTTCTCCTGAACTCTTCTCGGAGATTTTTAAAGAGCGTGAAATCCTAAGCCCCCCAGAACTCCGCTGAGGCCCGCAGAGACGGTAGCTCACCACCTCGGGCCCTGTCTCCCCAGCTATGGTGCTTCTGGTCGGAGGCCTTGAGGTTGGCCTGTCCTACTTCCCCTTCTTCGCCTGCCTCTCGTCAGAGTCCCGGCTGGTCAGTGCCATCCTCGGCTTCAGCTACTCTCTGATATGGTAAGACAAGACGGGCGCTGGGTGCCTGCCCCCGAGGCTCCTTTGTGCAGGACTGAACGCTGGTCAAGGGCTGCAGGTGACCGGAGAGTTCTCTGAGGGGCCCGTTTTTTGCTCAGAGGGAAGATTGAGACTCAGGGTGGGTAGGGGTGACTTGCCTAGGGCCCACGGCAGCTCCTTCTTGGACCTGCCCTTGAGATTTCATAAGGTCAGGCCAGTGTTTATCTGCCTCACATGAGGTATCTCCAGTAGGTGGCAATTTGGGGAAAAGGTCTCAAATTTAGGAAAACAACATTCCGTAAACTGCCGTGGGTCCCACTGGAGAAAGCAGGGTCCCAGTTGGGCCCTTCTGTTTTATATCGCCATAACTATCCTCAGAGCCAGAAGAAAGACCACGGGCCTTAGCTCAGCATCCACAGGGGGACACCTTCCTATTTCTCCACTCACGACCAGTGTTGAGCACACACTTCCATTCATACAAGTCCCACACGCATTTGTTCATTCCACACACATCCTAGTGTCCCCACCAAGAGCCACGGGAAACAAGACAGTGCCTCGGGACCAGGTGTTCTAGTGTCTGTGTCTCAGGGCCGCTAGTCCCTTACAGATCACCTTCCTCCCTAGTCTAGTGACAAGTGGATACTCAATCTGGTAGATCATGGCCCCCACCAGGCTGAAGGGGTCTTGCCCTTCTGGGTGAGTTCTGTGTGCTCACACCTAGCATAGAGCCGGCATGCACAGAGCTGGTCCCAAGGACTGTGTTGAGTAAATGGTCACGTGGACAATTGTACTCGTCAATCCCCGGGCTCATTACCTGGTACCAACCCCTGTGGCGAGCCTGCTTTCCCATCCAACATTGTCCATGACTCATGGAAATTATTTGCTCGGGGTCCTCGGTGCAGGGTGGGGGGCCACTGCATTAGGTCAGGGGTGGCTGGTAAGCCATGGTTATAACAATGGCTACAATCCCAAAGATATGTGGTTTTCTTTCTAACTTTAAAAAAATGTGATATATATAAAATGCATAAAATTTACCATGTTTAAGCATACAATTGGCACCATTTTAAAATATAATTCCATGGCGTTAATTGCCACCACAATTTGTGCACTCGGTACTGCTAGGTACTTCCCAGCGCATCACCATGCCCAAGATGAAGAGAGAAGTATCCAGGGTCAGACCTGAGCGAGTGCATCTCTTCGGGTTCTGACGGGCTTTGGGCAAAGGCTGTTGGGAACCACTCAGAGCCTGGGTCCACTGGGAGCCGGGCTCCCGAATGACCGTGACCAGAGGGGAGCACATCACTTAAAGAAGCAGAGCCAGGAGGCCTGACTCTTCACCTAGGCTTTGCCTGTGCCTCTGTGTGGGACTCTAGACTCACCCCTGCCCCACTCTGGTCAACCGATGCCCGATCTGAGCCGTGCAAGGAGGGAGCATAAGGTGCCAAGGACCTTTCTGCCCTGTCTGCTACCTGTGGATTCCGAGACTGCTCCGAATGAGGGCATGTGGAATGCATGAAGGGTAGCACAAGCAGATGTCTGGTCTGGGTGGGAACCAGCCCTCCCAAGGGGCAAGGACAAGGGGAGGTAGTGATGCATGGTGGGGCTTGAGCTATTTTCGTAGTGTGTGTGCCAGGAGGGTCACCCAAGTGCTGCAGGTCCTGTTTCTGTTCTTTTCCAGGTTTTCTGTCACCATCCTTCATATCACACAGTGTCCCCATGGGCAGGTGAGTCCAGGTGAGCTGTGTTTAGGGTATTCACGTCCCATCCCTTCAGCCGACTCACACCTTGGCCCTGGGATAAGCCCCTCTCAGAACCTCAGATTCCTCCTGGGTAAGCAAAGGTTTGCTGGAGCCATCAGCACTGCTCCTGTGTGTTCATCAAGGTGCTCATCGCAGACATTATCCAATGTTCACCCAGGCCTGCAAGGGGGGAGGGTAGCATGGAACCCATTTGACAAGTGAGGAAATCGAGGTCCAACGATATCAAGTCGTTCCTGAGTAGACTTGAGATTTGAGGTGGTCCTGGGTGAGCCCTGAGTGAGTGGGTCTTGGTGGGGGCAGGCTGGACTGGGGGAGAGTGCCCACAGGTCCCGCCCCTGGCACTGCCCTGGGGCCTGCCTGCTTCTGTTGCAGTTTATAGGGAGGTATGAGAGCATCGTGTTCTACTGGCCTTCCCTGCTGTGCCTCACCTTCCTGCTGGGCCGCTTCCTGTACATGTTCATCAAGTCTCTGAGGGTCCACCTGGGCTGGGAGCTCCCGACTGTGAGTACAAGTCCCGGGTGCTGGGCATACGTATCATGGCGGGTGTCATCCTCACCACAGTCCTGGGGGGTTCTGCTCTCGTCACTTGCCACACTCTGGATTTGGAAACTCGGGCCCAGAGAGGTGAGTTCAGTTACTCAAAGTCACCCAGCCAATCCATCGCAGAGCCCGAATTTGAACCCAGACCGGTTGGCTCGACCATCTTAACCACCAAGCTGCACACGTTCCAATTGTCACTCGCGGTTTCCACAGTTCTCAGGTTTGAATACAGGAATAACTCTTCTGTCGAGGAGTTTCTCTGAAAATATAAACATCTATCAGGACACCATTCCTAGCCGTGGATCCAAAGACAGACCCGGTCAATGGCTGTTTCACGGTAGCCCCTTGTGTTAGAGGGACTGGTGCTCCATCAGGTGTTCAATGGCTGAGCTAGCTTTGGGGAAGCAGATTGACAAGGTGTTCTTCCAGGGTGCTTCTGGGTAGACTCGAACTACCAACCTAATGGTCAGCCGAGCACCCATCAGCCATTCGCATCCCCCAGGGACTCCAGGTGAAGCAAAGGAATGAAAGGTCTTCCTTTCTTGCATGACACGGCGCCATTGCCTACCGGACACCAGCCCTGGCGGGCACAGTACTGCACAAGGGCTTTATAGATATCATCTCCTTTCATCTCCACGATAAAATTTCACAAGGAGGAACTATTATTTGCCCCATATGCTGATGAGGGGCCTGAAGGCTGGAGGTGTAACCTGATTTGGGCACACAGCTGGCTGATAAGTATAGCCAGATTGCTTGAGCTCTCCCCAGCATCCAGGATCTGTAAGGCTGTGCTTGATAACACATGAAATGCACCCATTCAAATCCCTGAAGCAAGCTGGGAAGCAAGCTGGAAAGCTCATGGCCCTTGCAAGAAACCTTTCATAACAAACAAGTCCAGTTTCCCCTCCTCCTCCTCCTCCTTATTCTTCTTCTCCTCCTCCTCCTCCTCCTCCTCCTCCTCCATTTCTTCATGTCTATCTATATAAGATAGGCAAGATAAACAATCCTGAGGAGAAAACAATGGAACCAATGGTCCCAGGGGGACAGGGGAGATGGGGAGGTGGGGGAAAGGGAGCGGGAGCCAACAAACCCAGGGACAAGAGAACAAGAGATGTAAAATCGATGACAAGGAGGGTATAAAATGCCTAGTAGGGTTGATCAAGTTCAATGTAGTTTAGAGGAATTTCTGAGAGCCGAATGAAGGTCAAACATGATAGTGGGACAGGAGGAAAGTAAAAAGAAATAGAGAAAAACACTAAGAGGCAAAAGACACTTACAGAGGTATAAATATAGATATGTATATACCGTTAATATATAACGATAGGGATATAGGTCTATGTACATATATTTATAAGGCAAGTATTAAGGTAGCAGATGAACATTGGGCCTCTACTCAAGTCCTCCCTCAACGCAAGAACAGTTTGTTCTAATAGCCTGGCATTCTGTGATACTCTCCTTCCCAACATGATCACTGAAGACAAAAGGTGTGCATAAGCAAATGTGGTGAAGAAAGCAGATGGTGCCTGACTATTACAAAATATAGCATCTGGGGTCTTAAAGGTTTGAAGATAAAGAAGTTGTCATCTAGCAGGAAAACTACAAAGCCCACATGGAAGAAGCACACCAGCCTGTGTGATCACAAGGTGTCCACAGGATCAGGTATCAGGCATTAGAAGATCCAAAATAAACAATCATATTGATGCCAACAAGGGGGATTGGAGTGGAGACCCAAATCCCATCTGTAGACAATTGGACATCCTCTCACAGACGGGTCACAAGGAAGGGACGAGCCAGCCAGGGTGCAGTATAGCACCAACAAAACAAACAACATTCCTCTAGTTCTTTACAGCTTCTTCTCCCCCACTATCATGATCCCCGCTCTACCTTACAAATCCAGCTAGACCAGAGCATGTACCCTGGTACAGAGCTCTTGACAAATGGAATCCAGGATGGATAAACCCCTTACTAACAGTAATGGGTGTAGCGATACCATGAGGGTTGGGAGAAGCAGGAGAAAGGGGAACTGACTGCACTGACTGACATATTACTCCCCACCACCACCAGGGGGACGAACAACAGAAATGTGGGTAAAGGAAGACAACAGATGGTGTAAAATATGAAAATAATAGTAATTGATAAAGGGCTCATGAAGTTGGGAGGGTTGGGGAAGGAGGGGAAAAAAGAGGAGCTGATACCAAGAGTTCAAGTAGGAAGAAAATGTTTTGAAAACGATGATGGCAACATATGTACAAATGTGCTTGATACAATTGATATACGGATTGTTATAAGAGATGTTAAGAGCCCCCAATAAAATGATTTCTTAAAAAAGCAAAAAAGAGGCACAGAGTTTACATGGAAGCAAAGCCAATGATTAAAAATTGAATGTGTTTCTTCTGAAATTCTCTTTTAGCCATTCTTCCATTTTGGTTATTTCCACAGGTTTCTTCATCAGCTTGTACTTTTGAATCCAGTAGACTCAATTGACCCTTAATGACTTTAATATAATCAAATTGAACATTATATATAATGTGATTTAATTCCACATCTCTCATCAAAGTGATAAATGGGCTTCATAAATAAAAATAAGTACATACATTCACTCATCCATGCAACAAGTACTATACTATGGGACTTCAAAAGGTTGGACGGACAACAGAAAAGTGGGTGAAG